AAAAAAAAAAAAAAAAAAAAAAAAAAAAAAAAAAAATCACGGCTAAACTTGGACTGCCCATTGAGTAAGTTTTACATCACTCGATTTAATCAATATACAGGTCTATGCAACTTACTTATCATATAAAAGTATATGTGTATATTATTAAATATTATACTTTTGTTCATTTAATTTTTTATAGTACGACACATTTCAATTTCAAAGTATGTTAGATTACGAAAAAAAAAATATAATTATTTAACAATTGATTTGCCTAACAATGACATTATTGGATAGTTGTGTAGTTTTCATTTATTACAAAATCTTATTAAGATAATTGAACTATAAGGCTAGGTCATCATCATGCTTTTGTTATAAAAATTGATATTTATATTATAAATGTCCCTTTTGTTCATTTACATTTATTGGAAAAGTATGTTGTTCAACCTTTTTTGTTTCATTATTATTAAAAAAAAAAGAGAGAGAAGAAGAAAAAGAGAAAGAGGATGCATCCTATTAATATATATAGATTATTTCGAGATGAAATAGTTGCATGTAATATGGGTACTTTTTAGATAATTACAAAGAAATAGTTAAGATGTATATGATAATATGTGAAAATGGAACTAAATTATTACAATATGATTTATTATACAAAGATGTATCTTGAAATGAGTTATGTATACTTGACATTCTTTTCTCTATAAACAATCAACATAAACTCGTATTTTAAACACTAATATCTATGAAATTTGGTGTTTTTTGATGTTTGATCGATGAATATGCTTATTATTTGGACAACATTCATTGATGCCAAATATACTCATATAAAGAATAAAATAAATGTAAAAAATAATTAATTTTTTATTTTTTAAAAGAAATTTTTCTATATATATTTATTTATATGTTATTTACAATTTCTATTCAACATTTGTATAATTGATAAGAAGAGTTTGAAATCAAATAAAAAATTTAACTTGCCAAAATTCTGATTAGACTTTGATTTGTAGATAGTATGATTAACGTTTGGACCTAAATGTATCTAGAAAAAAAAATAGAGAAACTTTTTTAATTGTTCATGTGCTCACGGATTGGATTTGAACCAATATTCCCGGGCTACTTTCCTTTTAGTAGATCGTGAGTGGGTCGGTCGCCGACTATTTAAAGGTTCCTTTCGACCTACAATTTTGACTAGCCTCTTCTATTGAATCGCGAGAAATCATCCCCTCGTGATTACCTTCAGGAAGTATTCAAACTATGGATTTGTAGCGATTATAAAATAGGATTGCACATTTCGTTAATATGTATGAAGAATCATCAAAGTTGAGTTTGTGCATCAACGTGACGTGATATTAATATATAACCATAGTGAAACAAACATCAAGCGTGCATAGTGCCAAAGACATGTGAAATTAAAAGTTCTAAAAAAGATTCAATTAATTTGTATATTATATGTGACATTGAAAATAAATGTTTTATCTTGTTTTAATGTTTTGTCCCAACAATGATCTAAATGAGATAATATCATGGTTCTAAAAAACAAATTTAAAAAACACTTCAAATGAGATAATATCATGTGTTAAAAAAATAAAAAAAAAATAAATAAATAACACTTTAATTTAAAATTGTATTTCAATAATTATTGAATGAGATTTGTTAAGTATTTATTATAATGAAAAAATAGCATATAGAAAAACGAACTTGTACTTACCCATCAAAAGTGGAGGAAGGACAAAAATATTAGTGCAATCCTCAAAAAATGAAAGATTAGTTATTTGGCCTTAAAAATTAGAGTATATTCATAATAAATAATTATAGATAAAAAATCAAACTAAGGCCAAATTTATTTTTAATATTATTTTAATATATTAACTAACAATTATCTATTCTAACTTTTAAAATTTAACCAATCCAAATTAAAAAATTCAATTTAAACCAAAATTTTTTATATCTAAGCATCTCCAATGTGGCTAGAAAAATTCTATCGTTAGATGCATATTTAGATTAATGTAGAGAGTTTTAAGATAGTTAAAATTTTAATGGAATGGTTTCCCAAGTAGATTGTAATCTTATCTGACTCTTGATATATTTATAAGTAGTTATAACTCGTCTTATCTGATTTTTGATATATTTATTAGTTGTTATAACTCGTATAGATGTATCTAAAAACACATTCTCATATTGAAAAATAATAATATAAAATCCGTCATTATAATTTGTCATCCATAGATTTTGTTTTCAAATCTATTTAAAAATATAAACAATAGTTGTCATCATAGATGTTTTCAAATCATTTTCCTCCACTTTGATAATAAAAATTAATTGTTAATTGTTGCTTGCTTACTTGGAACTAGGGATGAGCACGGTTCAATTCGGCTTGAAGATTCAGAACATAGTAGATATTTTTTTTTTTTTCAAAAAGTAAAGATATTTAATTTCATTAAGTTATAATTAATTTTATTAATAAAATAATCGATATATTCGTTCTTATATAATATTATGGTAAATATATCTTTCAGTCTATTTTTATTTTGGAATATATCACCTTTAAATAAATAATTTTCTCCAAGTTTTGTGAAAGACTTACTTCATAAAGGTCGGTTTCCCAAACATTGGATATTTAAATTTTATTAAGTTATATTTAATATTTTTTTAATAAAATATTTGACATGTTGGCTATCAAATTTATTAATAGAAAGAGTATATTAATTTATTTTTCTTTTCAAAATATTTATTCAAAAATGGGATCTTAGATTTAACAATGTTTCATAAATAGTACCAAAAATAATTATTTTTTTCAGTTTTTAAATTCTGTTAACATTCAATAGTGGATATTTTTTTTACAACTCAATTTGAA